AAAGAAAGCTCGCGCGTTTACGGCGGGCGTAACGAAGCGGGACGAAAGCATCTCCGACGAGACGCGCTCTTGAAATTTCGGGACGCGGATCCCTACTTCTTCCGCTCTTCCTCCCGCCGGCGATCACGCTTGGGGTAGGTCGCCGCGCGATCACGAGCCGTAGGGGTGGTTCCGCGCGCCGGGAGGGTGCGTCGCGACCGACGACGGCGCGAATCGAGCCGTTGCTCGCGGTCCGGAGTTGAAGACCCGACTGATGGAAACGCACGCAGAAACTCGGTATACTCGAGGGCGCAGGCGCCTCCGCGTCTCTCCGCTGATCTTCTTCCGTTGCACGGAGGCTGCCGCGCGCGCGCGCGCGTCTCCGTCCGCGAAGTGTCGCTGTCCTCTTCGACACCGCGCGTGTCCCGACCTTAAAGACCGACCTCGTGTGCTTACCTTCTTTCTCCAGCCTGAATAGGTAACTCGGCGCGAGTGCACGCGCGTGTGTGTGTGTATTCCACGACACTTATACATTACGGATCCGCCGAAGCGGGTAACTTGGCGCGACGCGTTCGAAACCCGGCTGTCGCGTCCGAATTTCAATTCGAACGCTCGCGACATTGTCACTTGTTTCTTCGCCCGATGTGGCTCCCGCCGATCGATCGCTGTTTGCATCGTTACTTTCGTCCGAACGGGGCGCTTCGTAATCACTTCGATTGAATTCGCGCGCGAAACGGACAGCCGTGACTTCCGAGCGGATCAAATGAGATTGCGCGAAATTAAGGGATCCTCTCGCGAGCGCGTCGAACTACCACCGGTGCACGCGCGGGTTTTACAGCGTGCGGGCTTAATCGTTCGCGTAAACCAAGAGCGAGGAGAAAGAGAGAAGCCGGGGCACAGCCGTTCTTTCACGTCGGCTGGCTTTCTTCGCCGGCGAAATTACCGACACTCCCGAAGATGGGCCTGTAACCTCGCGATTTTATATCGACCCGAACGAGAACTTTTAGCCGCGGTCACGGGGGGCAGCTCTCGGGGTCTAATTAAACTCCGCGGAGTGCGGCCGCGAGTTACTCGTTGGCACAGTCTCTCTCTCTCTCTCTCTCCGTGCTTCATTCCGCTTCCGTGGCGCGACGTAACGCGCCGGGAATGTTATTCGACAGCGCGGGCCGCGCGCGGATGGGACGCGACGCGCGGAATTATTGCCGCGGAAAGTTCTCCTCTTCCTAAGGGGAAGTTGTCATGTCTCTTTGTACCATTGTTATGTATCGCGCCGCGCAACTTTATATCGTATCTTACTTCGGCTTCCGACGCGGTAAGTGTGCCGTAAT